CTTGGGTCTGCGCTTGTGTCTGTAAAACCCTGGGTATCACTATTGAAAAATTGAGCAGTGACTGGGGGTTCCATTACACTCTCTGGCGTCTGAATCCTTGATCTAGCACTAAATGGAGAAGCTGCCTCGGTGTTCCAACATCATTTGACTTTCACTCAATTCATTTTTAATGCCGGGGCCTGTAGAAAAAGGCGGACATGATGTGGCTTTAGCAGCTCAGCCTTGTCCCAAGTGGTGTGAGCTGCCTGGTCCAGTTGTGCATCAAAGAAGGGAGGAGCAAAATTATTTTGGTACTCGAGTAAATGTCCATAGCCGAGTACATGCCATGTATTAGAGGTGGCCATATTGAGAACACTGGTGATATTTCAATTGTAGGTGATAGGCAGTGTAATATAATGTTCTGTTTCATTGTTTTGTCCTATTTTACTGTTTTCATCTTTTTTTTATGCTGTATGGATTTTTTGTTGAGATGTAAAATGTAGTACAAAAACATTGCATTAGGCCTATCCCAGCTTACATAATAAGCCATACACATAAAGACAAATGTTCTGTATGATTTCATAAAAAACCATAAATAAATAAATAAAATGAAATGAAATATAATCTAACCTCTTTTTTCACACTACAACTGTCTGCAATAACTGCCAGCCGGTTTCCTTAAGACAAAGTGTGTTCTGTATTTTGTCCGCTAGATGGCAGTAGAAGCACGTGGGTCTCACCTCGTCCGCGCTGTGTCGCTCTGCCCAGTATGGTCCATCTGCAGAAGGAAATGGCACTGAAATGATAGCGATTGGGTCAACGTGCATGCAGTAGCCCATCTGTCCTTTTCCTTCATCAAGAGTTGCACTTAAGGACAAAATTACCAATTATTTTACAAAATATTGGTCAAAAGTAATTCTGAGTCACAAATTTGGCATTTCTTGTGGGTTGTAACTTGGACAAATAAATCTACTCTTTACTCGGAGAGAGGCCTGCATTTTGTAACAACTGGGAAATGTACAACTGTTGATATGTACTCTGTAAATATTGGTGAATCAAAAGCACCTTGGCGTGCGGCTTAGCTGCAGGCCTAACCTTTTATTTCATTATAGGCTAAAAATATAGGCCTATTGACATATTACGTGCTACTAAAGTATCATTTATTTACAATGGTCCCCAAAAATACTTTTCTTGAATTCTGCCGTTGTGTTTATTTTTTGCAGTTGCTAAAACAAAAGCCAATGTGACCTAATCACGGGTTCATTGTAATAAAGGATAGCGTGGTATTATTTCCATTGTTGTCGTTTGTGGCTGTTACCGTCTGCCAGGGCTTATGGCATCCTTTTATTAGTGTCCAGAGTGTTATTCTCACTGCATACACAAACAGGAGTGATCCTAAGAAGGCCTGAGAACCGCGTTAGAAAACACAGGTGCGGGGGCTCCGTTTAAGCGGCTCAGCCCTCTGTCCACTCGGTGTGCACAGGGCGAGAGATCACAGCGCGCACCACACCCCCCACGCACGGATACACACACACACGGATGCACGTACAGATACACACACACACACACGGATGCACGTACAGATACACACACACATACACGGATGCACGTACACACACACACACACACACACACACACACACATACACGAGAGGGGTGCTTGTGTCCACTTGAGTAAGCCGGAGTTAGGTTGCTTTCATGCCATGCTTGTTTTAAAAAGATGAGGCTTGTGCAATGCAGTCTATACTAATAAGCATTAGGCGGGACTATTTCTTAACCCCTCCGCCCCCCGCGCAGACATGGCCATGAGAGAATGATCTCATCTGTCTATAAATACTCTATATGGAAGCAGCGTATAGGCCTACTGTAAACATTTACACTGGACACCTGTATGGGATAGTTTGGACTGGGTCAGATAACAGACCTAATCATAGCACTTTGAGGTTTCCTGGAAATGTAAGGTGCATTATAAATAAAATGTCTTATTATTACTATTACTAAAACAATAATAAACTAACGTAATATGCTCTATGAAAAGTTTAAACAGGCCCATAAACACAATTATGAATGTGGGTTCTTTATTCACATTAGTTAGTCCTAATGCAATATTTTTCAATTGAAATCCACATGCAGCAACTCCTGAACAAAGCGGAGCTCTTGGAGGGAAACCGCTGCTGCTCTTTGGCTGATGCGTGAATACACCCCAAAAGAAAAGTTGTGCTCACTTAACCGGGAAATCCGAGAAAAACGAGGCAGCGCGAGTATTTCTCACCAGTAAACGCTCTTTTCAACCCCCTCTCTTTATATGAGCAGAATACGAAGAATAACAAAGTGCTATTATAGTTCTGCAATTTGACTGTGTGGAAAACTTGTTCAGATCCACTTGTAAATACATTGCTTAAACAAATGTAGGCCCCCATTGTCGCGGGGTTTTTCTTCGTGTAAGTATCACACACACGGATTTCTCTTCGCTAAGTTCTTTTGTCTTGTGATCCATATATGAACTGACAGATCACGAACACGAGCTCCCCCACTGTTAATGACCCCAGTCGGCAACAGATAGACTCACACTTTTGACTGCCTCCCCTGGCCTACATATGCTTTCAAGACACAAGTCTTGCGCGCCAGTACATGCTCGAGTGGCTCTACGCATGAATGTTTTTTGTAGTGAGTTTAAGTTGTGTTGTGTTTTAGCCATTTCCACTTTACTCAAAAAAAAAAGATTTACAGATTTACTCACTTTTCCCTCTGATGCCAAAGGACTTAATGAATGTAACGCTGCGCAAATGAAGCCTATTCACGTCTTGTTTTGTATTCATGAGTCTCTTATCGCGCTCCATCTCTCACATATAACTCTAATCCTCGTGTCCTCTTTTGCCGATAAAAATGCTCTTCAGTTTACGATTAATTTCATCTCAATCATTGCCAGGACTTGTCACATCCAATAAAAGCGAAGGAGAAGTGGGGGGTACATGATAAGGGGCCGTGCTGGTGCGCTCCCGCGCGGCCCCTCATGCTCTTGATAGGGCCTATCTGTCTGTGGCAGGCCTCTTACACCCGGGATCATGCCTTTCAAACACCGCACTGGTTTCATCTGCAGGAGCAGGCTCCACTGAGCTTTACACTCGCGCACTTTTCTCTTAAGATTGCTTTAAAAAGAAATTAAACGTGTGCATGAAAATAGATTGTCACCTAAACTTAGCATACACATTTTGAGTTACGTTACAATTCACACACAAGTGAAAATAAACAAACATACTTTTAAATTCTTATTTGGAATCTATTTGAAACATTTAACCAGAACAGAATAAACTGTTGGTTATTATGATACATGAGTATTAAACAGTTTTTGCGCATTCCAGATTATTGGACTAATCTAAAGGTAAATAAACTGACGCTATAGTCAAATAAATGAATCCTGACCAAATTCCACAGCATCTAAACACCCACAATATGGAAACTGTGCTTGTGGACGTGATTAAGTAAAGAGATAAATAAAACCGTGCGTAAAAACACGCGCGGGTCGCCCCAAAAGCGTCACTTTTCAAACTTATGCGAAAGTTTGGCCTCAGAAACATGGCTCTTATTATTTAGTTAGTTGCTTCCAAAAGTGAGTTCTTGTAACAGTGTCCTGCAGCAAATCTTCCCTCTCTGCAGAATAATTGGGAGGGATTTAGGCAGAAAAGACTGCTGGAGAGAAAGCCTTTTTGGAGGGGAAATGGTTCTCTCCCGAGGAAGAAAAGCTCCTTTCACTGGGCCACAATGAGAGATTGGGACAAGGGAGGAGTTCCATCGCGATTAGTCCATTTAATGGTGCGTTTACTTAATTTCTGTATTCAGTGGCAACGGTAAACAAAAGAGAAATAGCACTCAGGTTTAAAGTGTGCATAACGCTGATATTTATCAAATGCACTGAATGTTTATCATGCCATAAGGAAGTCAGCATTTGTATAAACAATAAAGAGGTGCATAAAAGAATCAAAACGCAGCATGTTAACCATATGAACGCACGCATTTCCACAAATCTGTAGATTTTCAACCAGTTCAGGAGCCAGGAGCCTAATGCCACTACAATCCAATAATGAGCCACGGACATGTGTTTCGCCACTTATCAGCATCCCTCTAATCGGATGGAAAGACACACGCAAAGATGTATGGACAACTTAAAGCTGTATTTGAATTGGAGCGATATTAGTGAGCAAAGCACAGAGAAAGGAAACGATGGGGAACTCTGAACGACCCCGGGGCAGTATATGCTACCACTTAAACTCATATTTTACAACAACGCTTCCTTTAAAACCCTTTTCAAACCAAGCCATGCAACAAAAAACGCCTAGAGCAGAAACGATATTAGATTTGACAAATATTTTATGTAGGAACACCAAGTCAAGAAAAGTGAGGGAGGGATAGAAAAAAGAATGAGACAAGGGTTGTGGCAATACTTATGTACATATTTCTACACGTATATTACAGGCTGGGAGAATGAGCGCATTATTTAAGATATACATAATTCAATATAAAATTTGAAAATAAAAATAAAAATCTGATACAGTCGACATATTTTGAACATATACCCCACACAGGCAGTGACAGAAGAGTAGTAAAAAGGTGCTTCAAATGATTGTCTGATGAAAACAAAGTAAACAGAGATTGCATCTGGCGAGTTATGGTTCACATCGTTTTTGAGCTGAGGAAAAAAAAAAATAATACATACAAACATGAGAGTTTTCCCCTCGCTGTTCCAGTCTGACAAAACGCTTGCACCATGTTGTTGACCTGATACAAGTGAAACCAAAGATGAAAATGTCATGCAATAAGTCTGGTGTTGTTGGCGTGGGGATGAAAGGAGGGGAGATCCTTTTGAAAGCGCTTTCATAAAAACACGTGCTTTTATCTCTTTTTAATTGTAATACTTTTATCAATCAGTTCTTTTTTTCCTCCGCGATAAGTCTTTTTTCGTCTCAGGTCCATTGTCCCTGTTGTAAATATTTTCTTTTTGTTTTGGGTGTTTCTTGTGCGTATCATACATCGCACTCAGAGTCGCTGGATGTGACTGAGAGGATGGACGTGCCCGTGTCCACTCTCTCTGTCATACTGGACACGCTGGTGGTGGGGCTGGCGGCCGTGGAAGGCGACTCTGCGGAGCTGTGTGGGGTCAGGCCGGCCTCTGACAGAGACCTCATGCCGCTCGCTCCTATTGCTTGGTGCTGGAGCCTGGACAAGGATCGGGGTGGTGCATGGGAAGGAAAGAGAAAAGCAAGGGAAAATTGAGAGAAATGGCAATTAGCCCCAAGAACCCCCCTCTCCCTCAGCCTGGTGCAAAATAAGGGGTGCAAACTGGCCTTTTCTTCCCCCCCGAGCCGGCCCCATCCATGCATGCGCGCTTTCAACAACAGCAGCTTTCAGCACACATGCAGTACCACAATTATACTTTCTAATTCAAGAAAACCTGGTATTGTTTAAATTGTATTGTTGATGTGTATTGCAAAATAAACATTAATGTGCAACATATCAACAATGCCTAACAAATTAAAGCATCAAGTGCAATTAACATAACATTATGCACATGTTATTTTTATTGCTATTTTTTTCATTGTCAATACTTCCCAGCAATACACACATGGCTGAACTATTATTACAACATGTGCTATAGACACACAAATAGTGTGTCTATAGCGCTTTTTGTATGTATTTACAAATCTGTTTTCCAATACGCATTTGTTGCTGCTTCAAAGCACTCGTCATAATAACAAACACACCAAGTGATGCTGGAAATCTATACTCGTCATTAAACAAAAAGATTAGAGCACAATTCATATGGCTTAGTCTGGACCAAAGTCTTTTCTAATCAATTACTGCATTTCTACGCAGTGATACCACACTTAGTGTTATGAATACAGCTTATGATTTAATCCTTGTGCCATTTTTTGTTGAGTAATTTATTATATTTTCATCATGAATAAATAAATCTCAGTTTGTAAGTTTCGGACTATTAGTAAAATAATACGAAAATAAAACAAACAAGAATAATAACTAATATTATATAGAAGCCCATAATATTTACAAAATATTATCATATATAGTATAGGCCTATATTGCACTTTGCATTGTTACTAAATAGTTTGACACAAATATAGAATTGTTTGTAAATAAATATGAAAATATTAAGATAAGCCCTTGTGTTTTGTTGTATAAATATACTATTGTTTTATTTTTCTAATTTTGTGAAACTGCATAGTATCAGTGTTTTTATTCACCACATATTTATGATGTAAATTAAAACACATATGCAGCATAAATGTGTATTTTAGAACCAGAAGAATCCTATTTTTTGCACAATCCTGCCGCGCTGCTGCACTTCAAAACAAGTCCCTCCAGCTTCACGCAGATCTGACACTATACGGTGTGTTTCTGTGTTTGTTTGATGCAATAATACTTTGTTGTTTGTATGTGTGTATGTCCCGTTTGCAAATCATCAGAGTTTAAGAAGGGACTAACCTGTTTTTGGCTGCCGCGGCTCTGTCTCGTTGTCTCCGGTTTTTAAACCAGTTTCCGACCTGTGTGGGAGTGAGTCCAGTGGCTTGTGCCAGTTCCCTTTTCTTGCTGGGGTTTGGATAGGGGTCCTGGAGGTACCACTCTCGCAGCAGACTGCGCGTCCTCTCTTTGAAACAGTGCGTCTTCTGCTCCCCGTCCCAGATGGTCCGAGGCAGCGGAAACTTCTTCCGTACGCGGTATTTGTCTACGGGTCCAAGCGGGCGCCCGCGGAGCTTCTCGGCCTCTTGGTAGTGTGCCTCCAGCCACATGGCCTGCAGTTTACCGTGCGAGTCTTTAGTGAACTTGTGGTTCTCGAGGATATGGTAGAGGTCTCTGAAATTCCCCGTGTGGAAGGCAACAACAGCCCGGGCGCGCAGGATGGACTCGTGTTTGTTGATCGCCTCGCATGCTCCCGGAGCCACGGGCAGAGACCAGAGGAAGCGGCCCAGACGCTCTATGTCCCCGGTCTCCTCCAGCGTCTCGCAGACGCTCGCCACCTGCTCCGGGGAGAAGTTGAGGGTCGGCAGCTGAAACATGGACAAGTCTTCTGGAGTCCTGGCGGAGGGAGCGCTGTTCGCCAGGAGCAGAGGGCGATCAGCGAAGTTTGGCAGGAAGAAATGGGAGGGATAAAGCTCTAAAGGCGATCTGAAAACCATGGAAATGACCTGAGAGAGAAAGAAAATTATCGAGAAAAAGGGGAAACCGAAAAAACACGGCAAGTAAAAAAGGTTGAATGATTCAATGGCTATCGCCTAATGACACCAGCCTCATAATATCTCCCCCCTAAATCCTCCGTTGAGTGTAGCATTGAAACATTTTGTTTCCCTTTTCTATTGGTCTTCTTGGTGTCGTTGTAACGTTGTCATGGCAGCCCTGCCAATCACTGTCAAGCGTGCCAATCATTAGCCAGTACGTAGCGCGAGGCTTTCACCACTTGTGCAGCACGCACGGGGGTTATCAGAGCGCAGATCTCCACAGCAACCCTCCCACCGCCGCGCGCACCAGCCACAAGCCAATGCTGCTATCTGCTGAATGGAATGAGCAATTAGAGGGAGGAATATTATTGCGATCTTAACGAGGCTCGTTAAGGCTAAAGGAGATATAGACTGGATACATTGCGGAGTAGAGGGAGGGCGAGCGGCGTGGCTTTAAAGGGACAAATGGACACCAGAGTTTCCGGTTTAATTCACAGCCGTTTCATTTAATTTAAGTGCGCTTTTCTTTTTAGGCTGTTGGGGAAATGTTGATGTTTATTTTTTCATTTAAGAGAACGGAAAGCGTATGTGATTTTTATAGTTTATCGCTTTCCCCTGCATGTTAGCCTCGGAATCACGAGGACTTTTGTCTCACTTGTCGCGCTCTGGCTCTCGGTGCATGCGCGTGATCAAGAGGCTGCTGTCCCGGGCGCAGCCTCTGGGGCGCAGACCCTGCCCTTCACCTAAATACATTGTTCCAAGCCATTATCGGTGTCAAACGCAGAGTTGATTAAACCCCGATCATAGAGGTTGAGTTGATACAAGTGATTTGCTATCGGCAGTGGTTTGATGGGAAGGTCGACCCTCTAATTAATTCCATTAGTATTTGAATCGCAATCAAATGGCAGCATGAAAGCTTCTAGAAACATAAAAGAACTTTGGTGCATTTGATCTGGTGTAAGGACACGATCAATGTCCAGTTCAGTCACAGGACTCGACTTGTAGCTGCGGCGGTGTGATTTTCATGTTTGTGGCTAAAGTGGTTTCATATTTAGACAGGGCTTACAGGGTGTTAAAACAGTGAGTTCAATCCGCCGAGAACAGTGCCTATTGTGAAAGCCATAAGACATAGCATCTAGACTTCTCTTAATCCGTCTTCCATAAAGCTGACATAATTATCATAAGCTTTTGCACAAAATCATTCAGGAATTCTAAACTTTTCTTATAGCGCAGTGCTTTACCGAAACGGACCACGCTATTTATCACATCTGAATACTAGGTCATGGATTTCTTCTCTGCAGACATGCGTCCTCTCTTCAGAAGTTAGTGCAGTGCAGTAGGTAAAGCAGAGGCTGGCCGTGATGATCTCGTTGAAGGGTCAGGAGTGTATGTGTGTCTTGTGTGATGATGTGCCTCAGGATCAAACCTGTCCGCGCATGGGCCTACGAGAACTAATTTAAAGTGGCACTTGAATTAGTCCAGTTGCAAAGGGCCGTGGACTGGAAGTAAGATAGGGGTCTTGTTGCCCCTTTCCCCTGCATGCCAAACGCACTTCCTTGGGACTCGACTCATGAGAACTATAAGTCAATCCTAATAGTCCCTAATGGGTTGTTGTTTTGGTGATGATGGCACACTGGAGAGTTACAGGTATACAGGCAACAGCCTTGGGCAATGTTGTGAGGTCTGCCTCGCAGGCTATTCTGAAATCACATAAGACTGGAGCTGAAACTTAAAACCTGAATGGGAATTAAAAGAAATCCCACTAGTAATTCACATTCTTTTACATAGCTTTTGTTTACGTTAAGCATGTAATTAACACCCCCCAAACAAGTTTATTCACCTGCTGTAATTGTGTGTTTATCCGAAGGCTTGGTGAATGTTGTGAGCAGCGGGGGACAGCGCTCTGAATGCACATGGAACATTTGGAGTAGTCTCCGTTTACTTATAACTAAAGTCATGACAAGCCAGCCCGCTTTGCAAGAAGAGGGAAACAAGCTTTGACTTAGCCTTTGTAAAAAACAAAAAAACCCAATATATATATATATATATATATATATATATATATATATATATATATATATATATATATATATATATATATATATATATATGTTTTAAAAAAAATCAATCAAGCTGAATGAGATGAAAAAAAAAGAAAAACACCCATAAGTCACAAGATATCTTATTGCCATATTTTGATTATTGAATCACATTGTTCCAATAAGGAAAGCAAATAAACAAGGCATATGTTACGTCATGTGGCGGAGTGAGAGAGGGCTGAGGAGAGAGGACAGATGCGAGAAAGAAAAGGTGTGGAGTGTAAAAGGTAGCTATAGGGAAAGAAAGGAGCAGGGAAAAGTTGTGTTTTGTCTTTTGCCTCCCTCATTGACCTCGGTTTGTCAGAGGCTGGTCAGACAGCCGCGCTCACCTCATGGCACGTGAAGAGGCGCCTCTATGGACTCAAAGCGCACGGATGCGTACGGAGCAGGACTGGTGCGTAAAAGGCAATTATCAATTGCTGCCTCTGCAATATAATCAATGTGTCATTTTCTTTACATTGTTTACGTATACGAATTATTGGGCTTTTTAATCATAAGTCACGTTGGTATTACGATAGCACTCTTTTCTCTGAAAAAAGGATTAGTCATACTGTTTTTATCCGGCGTAATTTTTGTCTTCATACGAATTGTTCACAGCGCGGAACTGGCACGGCTTCCCCGAACATCACCTTCTCCCGACACAGTGACTGCAAGTATCCTGAATGGGAATGCTTTATTGCTAAATGTTATTTTCTAATTTCCATTCGTATGTTGAAATATTATTCCAGTTTGTAGTCTGTGCGTATCTCTGGTCTGCACCGCATGTGTGCCTTCCCAAAGCGTCTGATTGTCGGATTAGAAGCTCTGCTCTGTCCGTCCCACTCTTTGCACATAGCCTGTACTTCGCTGCCGCTACACTGTAAAAATAGTCAGCATATCTCACTGAAGAGGCACAAACAACTCCATAGTACTGTTTATGCATTAGCACAGGACATGGGCATACACTGACTTCCAGATGTGTGCATTTGTTAAGTTGTTGAGGATAATAATAGCAGTTAATTAAACGTATTCATCAGATCATGAGAGATCACGGTGAATGTGTTAAACCGTAGGATCATCCAATTTATCTTAGTGTTAGACTGATGTTTGAATGTTTTTTGTTTGTTTGTTTTTAGAGTACAAAAGAAAAGTACAACATACATAAATGCCTGCTTTTCTATTTGGTTCTACATCTCCATGATTTACAAAAATAAACATTTTCCACATGTACAGCTCTAAAACGCGGCAACTTAAAACTAAATGAGAACAAGATTTCTTAATAGAAATGGTGCCAACTTTAACAGATTTCTTTCCCAAAGGTTTGTCTCCCTGTTCTGCTCCTCTGCAGGTCTCCCTCCCTTTTTTATTGTTTTTATTGTGTGCTCTCATTAGGGGGACTTCCTGGCAGGACTCAGCGCTTGTGTCGGAGCTGTCCAATCAGTGTATTTACACGGTTGTTAGCGACAGTTAATGAGGGCTCCTCCCCAGGCCGCTAGAGAAAGGCGCTTCGACATTAAGATTTACCTTGTGTCAACTCGTTACTTCTAATGAAGCTGCTGCAAAAGCTGCTACGCTCTCAATGGAGCCGTGCGTCCGGATCAGGAGCAGCCACGGCACTGCAGAGGGCTCCCTCACCCCTTTTCCCCGCTCCCTCTGAATGGTGCCTTTTCAGCAAGGTTGGACTGGGGCCTCAGGGACAAGTGCAGAGGTATATGTGTTACAGAATATTAATAAAACATCGATTTCTTGTTTGCAAGAGGGGTACACGATATAAGTTGATCCTTCTTGGCAGTATTGATCCATGGAAACAAAAGCAAATGGATGTTCGCATATTCTATCATAAACATTGTCCCCATTGGCAGGGAATCTTAAAGCATCGGTGAAAGTTGACCATAACTGCTCACCATCCCCCACCTCTGCCCACACTGCTGCCTCAAAGTGGCATCTTGAGCCGCATCAGCAACACGTCACTGTGCCTGCATGCAGGTAACACTGCAGGAAGAGAATTTACAGAGGGGAGTGCTAGAGATGTGGACATTTTCTGCAATAACTGGAAATCCACAGCACAACGTGCAACTTGCATCTTGTGCGCGCCTGTCTTTGCTCGTGAGTCTTGTCACCGCCTGGTCCCATGAGGAGCTGCGGAGCCTGACACAGACTCCAGGCTGCTTTCTCTTCCAGGTGATGGCTTCATCTGGAGCCATGTCTGTCTAATGCCTGCTGCCCTGGGGTTTACACATGCTCATCCGGGCTATCAGGGTTCTGTTTTTATGGGGCGACGAATGTCATAAGCATCAGCAACATGAGGGGCAACTGTTCAATAGTTAAATGAATAAAATTGGATATCTGTCAAATCTGTTAAACGCGGCGACTTTTACGCACGGGGAGGAGCAGGGGCAACAGGCCTTTAGTCTGATGTCATATCGATGACAAGCCACAATTAGCCTGGGTGACACGCGCTAATGCGTGGTTTATTTTATATATATATATATATATATATATATATATATATATATATATATATATATATATATATATATATAAAAATTTCTGATGCATGTGTGCGTAAAACAGGTTCAATGTAATCCCCAAGACCCAGACTTTTTCCATTGCCTTCATTCTGCGTTTCTAAATGAATGCATGCTCATGTCTGAAAAGAAGATTAACACAAATAATACATGCGTACATTGTTTTATGCTTAATTCTTACAGAGAAAATCTCTGCATGGCATTACTCAAAGGGTTGGAACTTATTTTTTCAACTTCAGTAGAAAATATATCCCTGTTTGCTCACTGTGCAACACATGAAGATATGTTTTAAAGTCAAGATGAAACAATGGCCTGTCATTGATTATATATAACGTACTTTAAATCTTCCCTTTCTATTAAAGCAGCTCTGCGCAATCAAAAGAAAACGTTTATTGGCATATGGTGGAACATTTAAGAAAAACAATTATTCAACAACAATTAAACAATTTTTCGTTTATATATATATATATGATACACATGATATAAACAGAAGGTGTTGGCAGGTGCTGTCCATGCACCTGATTGGTTGCTAGAGATATATGGCACATCTCTAGCAACCAATCAGGTGCGTGGCCTTTAGCTAGTGCGACCAATGCTGGCTAACTACCGATTTTACAAATTTGATTTTAATGGAAAAAAAATACAATTTCGCCATCGGATACACATCACTGTCAAGCGTGCCAGACACCAAAAACGCTTGCTAGGCCTCTACCCACATGTTTACGTTTTGTTTTAAGCTTTTTATTTACATATCTGGATTGGAGTTCATATAGGAGTCATTCGAATTTCAGTGTTGCATCACAGGTTACAGAACAGTATAGAGGAACACAGGTCTACGTTATTCTTTGGTATGCTGTGATTATTAAGTATATAACATATCTAGGCTTAAATACAATCAATTTAATCAGTGGCGGACCAGGACCCAGTCTATACTGAAGCCATATCTATGGTCGATAAGAACGCTGCTGAACCTTCTGAAACAGTTAAATTCACCAATGTTATATTCAGCCACTTTAACTGGGTTTCATTTAATATCTCACAGAATCGTTTATTTATTATTCAGGGTGAAATAATGAGCGATGGTTGGCAGATGTCAAAGCGCAATGGAGATGTTTATGTTTGACTGGTTTGAGAAGCCATTATCCTGGTGCACATCAAACATTCATGTGGCAGCTGTATGTGCCCGTCTCCTGTGGCCGCTTCAATCCTCTTTTTAACCTTTCCACCCAGTTAACCTGTTTGTCTGTTTATACACTTCACAAAAAGGCCACAATGTTTAGAGACCGTCCTCCACTGTAAATGAGGCCTACAGAAGGTCAAGGCAGCAGTAGCTTTAAACAACATTAATAATGCATTAATTAACGTATAACAGTCTAAACTGCGGAGACTTTATCCACATTCAGGCCACATACTCAGTCTTTTGACTTTAAAAACAGTATATATCGAGTAGACAAGGCCATATTTTTCAAGGGGCTATATGAGTCCCGTTGGTCCTGTCTCATCCCCCAAATAAACACACGCAGCTAATCCCCATATCTGCTGGAGAGGGTGGCTGTGTGTTTCTCAGAATCAGAATCAGAATCATTTTTATTGCCACGTAAGTAACAGGAGGTCACAGACTAGGAAATTGCTTTGGCTCAGTGCAACAGTCAAAAAGAGATAATAAAAATAAGAATAAAAAACACTTCTAAAGAATAAATTTAAATTTAAAATAGAGTTACAGTTACTATTTAGTTACAGTTACTATTTCTGAAGTCCGGACTGAAGTGGACTTCCATACATACATACTATACATAGCCCCCTCTCCCGGACCAGCGTGTTTCTTTGCCTCTTCTGGCTCCGCGTAAAACATAGTGCTTTCGATTCTTTTGGAGCAGCCCTTGCGCAGACCCCACTGCTGCCCAGCCTGTGTGCGCGTACATGTGCGTGTGCCTGTGCGCGTGCGTGGGCCAGAGTCACGCAGAGGTAATGGGAAGTAGTCGGAAGGTGAGGTCGCGGGTTCACGGTGGGGTTAAAGACGGCTCTTGTTTGCTTCTTTTCCACAAGTCCTCTTCCTTCCACCGTGTCCCGCCGCTCACACCCGGCTGACACTGTGCACGCCCTGTTTGTTTTTCCTGCGCTTTATAAATGAAACCTTCTCTCGCAGGAAAACAAGCAGCACGTCCACGTCACTGCGCGCGTATGAGGGGAGCGTCTGCGTCCCACCCGCTCCCACACAAACCTTTGTGTTTTGCTCTGATCAACTCTATTTTTATCCACACAACAGCGCGCACATGTCAAACACAAAGAGGGATGCGACTTTTTTACGCGAAAAAAAAGCCAAACTGTCCCTCTCTTCAGATTACAGCCCGACCAAAGCTTTTCAGGCGATCCAAATATGGCAATCGATTTGTGATATATGCAAAATGCCTTTGTTTTACTGTGTTCATGGCTAAACAATGAGAATAAAGTCGTTTCAGCAGTATAAGTGTAATATATTTATTGTGACACTGAATTCAACACATGAAGCCTTGAAAGAGGATAAAAAATATAATAAAACATTGACCAAATCTCAGCAGCAACAGTCCAGTGTCTTCATCTTTGCAGGAGGAGGGTGTATTCTGTCCCCTCTCTCCTCAGTCTCACATCCTGCCTCTTTGTGTGCTTATAGAGATGTTCACACAGGGGACAAGAGACAGTTGGTCGGCTGCCTATCTGCTCCCCACCATGCTGCCTGTGAGACCACCACTGTACACTCAGTCCTTAGTCACTGAGGGAGCAAGCGCTTGGCCTGGTATTTCAGACTCCATTAGACACAAGACAGGTATGCAGCTGAATGTGATGTTAAAGCCCACTCCACATGTGTTCCTATTTAACAGGATTGTTCTGCCTTTTTTTTCCCCTCAATGTGTGTGTGTATATGTGTGTGTGTATGTGTGTGTGCGTGTGTGTGTATGTGTGTGTGTTTGCTTCTCCTAATGTCCAACGGTTTAGTTTGAGGTGGTGTAACTTAAATGAGGCCTTCGTGAAGCTTGAGCGGATCACATCCAGGACTAATGCTGAGGGAGAGGAGCACTCAAACCAGGTCTGTAAAACACTGCCTTTACTGTAGTGATAACTTGGAATGAAGCCTTTACTAAAATAAATATCTAAAACTCTAAATAAAGTAATACAGAAAGTGTTGGAACAGAATATAACATGAGTACAAATTCAGAATACTGTTTTTGACTATAACATTTTGTAACTTTTTCTTTTGGTGGTATTCAGAAGTTTCATGAAAAAATGAAGGAATATATTTTGATTTTGGATCACAAAATTTACAAAAGATACAAAAAAGAAAACCTTCTCTTTTAGGAATGTAAGCCAGTGTGAAAATCCTTTTATAATCAACACTTGTTTCCAAAACCATTTCATTACATTGTTGACAAATACATTTAATTCAAACAAAACCATCAAGACAGATGGACATTAATTAGCCTTTGGCTATAATCTGGCATGTTTACATTCATGTTTTAATGTGTTTGTTCATTGACATGCACTGTCCCAATCAAATAAATAAATAAATAAATACAAGTTGTTGAATCAATGCAAATTAGCGGAAAAGTATTCCTAGTATTCAGACTGCAGTACCAGTTATTCAGTATTACTTGCTGGACATTATTACGCAACTTCAAGTTCTTTGAACCCTGCGACCTCTATAGTACTACGGCCAATGTATGTATTTTTATTTTGTTAGAGCTTCCTGTTTTAAAAAAAGAAAAGATGGATTTATCAGAGTGCGGTTATCACAAGTCAACACTGTGTTAAAACACCTCGTCAATAATCATGTTGTGTTAAAACAGTCGTCTATCGGTTTGTTTTGCTCAGCTGTTGGTTAAGTGTTACATTACAACATGAAAAGTGTGACCTACACGTAGCAGGTCATGTTCCCAACACTCACTTGTTCATATTCAAGCACATTCAAATGCACGCACACACACATAAACACACACACAGATATTTACAGAATGTGTTTCAATATAAGTTATAGTGTGAACTATTTGTATTTCTGAAGTCTGTACATAATTGTCATCATCTTGCATTTACATTGTCTGACACCATTACAATTATCTGGAAGTTCAGCAGACACTGAAGTATTGTCTCTTGTTAATGATTAATGCTCTGTCAATAAACTACTAAAACACACATTCAATTCACCTTGGAGAGACCCATGAGGAAACGCATTAGACTTATTAGATTTAAGCATGTTTATTGATTGAGCATGTTTGGCGCCCTAGGCCCGGGCGGGATGCTGTTGAGCACGGCGCTTGCTCGCGTGCATGATCCCCCCGGGGCCTAGGCACTGGTGACGGCAGAGGCAGTAGGCAACACGCTTCATGCGAGAAGGAGGAGGTGGGGCGGCGGCGGCTTGCAGACTTCAGAAGATCGGGAAGTGGGCGTCTCCGGCTTTTAACTTGCTGTCCTGGTGGTTATTGGTTGACTGGGTGTGGGCGTTGCTGGTATTGATGAGTCGAGGAAGAGCAGCCTGTGGCCTGGCAGCAACAGCCGGGTCTACCACGGTGAACTTTCGCGAAAGCTCCATATCATGTGAAGTGTGTGTCTCAAATGCCATTCTGCTCAGTTTGTCTTTTCGCAATCCTAAATCTTCCCCAAATGAGACAAATCAAAGTGAGTAAACAGCCGGGGGATATTATAGA